GAGGATAAACATGTTTTTAAAACTCTGGGAGTTTGAGTCCAGGTCAGTTAATCTTGGAGTCCGGAACTGAGGTCTTTACAAAGAGGGGCTAGCTGGTAGAAGCTAACCAAAGGCAGAAGAAGGCATTCTTTAGGTCCAGTCAGTGTACCAGCAGGCTACAGGTGACAGAAGACTGAGGCACTGTATACGGAGGACAATTGTAGCAGCATTGACAGCTTTGAGATCTTAAGGTGTCTTTACAGGTAGGCGAGGTATATTTTAGCAATTTGATTATCTATACTGTTTGCTCAGAGGACTGTGACAGACCTGAAAGGAACAGAGAAGTTGTCCTGGAGAGAAGATGCTAATGGCTTGGCTAAATCTGTTGTCAGGGCCTCCCTAAAATTACTCAGAGAGATCCGAAACTCTTGTGGCATTTGAATAACAGTGCAAAACAGGATGTGGCTTGGGAACTGCAAAATGCAAGGTGATGGCTGCATAGTTGATAGGACAGGGAGACCTTAATGTAATTGACAGTCTATCAGTCTGATGCATGACTAGATGCCTGACTGTGCTTCCTGTGACATCTAACAGCAATGAGGGTCTAAGGGAGGCAGCATGATGATGGCCAGACCCAGGGGCAATTCTTTAGTCTATGCCTTTGGGAGGAGAGTTTTCAGAGTTTCAGGACTGTGGTTATCTGCTTCAGGCCAAGGCAGGCAAAATCTTCTTCATGGAGAACATTCAGAGTTGAATGTGCAGGGTTAAAAGAGAGGGAGCTTGACTGGCTTGGTGCAAAGGAGATGGTAGCTTCTAACTTGAAGAGGAAGTCTTTTCCTAGAAGCAGTATGGAGGCTGGCTTATGCAGGAATTGTCCTCGGGTTGTCTCTTGCTTCTCTTATAAGAGTGTACCTAGCAGAGAGGCAAGAGGCAAGAGTCCTAGTTGCCTTGATGATAGTAGTATGGGCTCCTTGTAGCCCAGGTGAAGAAAGGAGCCCATCACACTGATAAAAGCATTGTAACCTGAATGGGTATTTATTTTTTGGTGTTCATAGTCCTTATAGCAAGCATCTGGGAAATAACAGTAACTTTTGATGTATCAAGAAGTGGAATGACTTTTGAGAAAGGCCGTGGGAATTCATTTGTCAGGGCTGACAGTCCAGATTTTCCTCAGTCAAAATGTGAACTCAGAAGGAATTCCTGACAGTCATCTCTAATGGGCATTAAATGATGCTGTCTGACCAGGACAGAATCAGAAGGCTTTAGAAAGAGGGCCTGTGTGGCCAAATGCAGGCAATATCTAGCTAGAATTGGTTCAGTTGGCTTGAAGTAGATGGGTTGGGAGCGGAAAGTGAAGCTGTAGATGTTAACAGCAACTGTAGTGGCTGACGAGGGTGCCACGGTGGAATTTTTAGGAAAAATGGGCGTCTTTCTCCTTTTATTTTTCCTCTGAGATGCAGAGAGCAGTATGGCTTCATTTTAAACTCTGTAAAAGCTCTTTTCCATGAAAGCAGGGACTGTGGACTTTGACTAATTAATTCCCATGTCTTACTTCCCCTGTGTGTGTTTTATACCCTTGAATCATGACACAACAGACAAAGGGTGGATGCTCTCAATGAGCGAGAAAGAGAGACTGATAAGATTATATCCAAAAGATTAGAAGTATAAAACAAAAGAGGCCTTTATTCTGAGAACATGGAGAGAGAAAACCAAAACCCCTGACTACTGGAGTCCAGCTTTCTCTCTGGCAGACACGTGGCGGGGGGGGGGGGTACGTAAGTAGCCGCGGTTTGGGGTGGAACCTAAGGAGGCATCAGGGATGCATGGGTAGCCCATTGGTCCTAGGTTTGGCGCCATCGATAGGTTCCCAGGGGTGGGGAAGAGGGCAGGTAAATACCTAGGGGTGGGGAAGATAGTAGCTACTTGGTTCCGCCTTTAAGGCTTCACCAGCTACAGGGCCCTATCTGGGCCAAAATCCTTTCAGAGACCATTCAGATGCCCACCAGGCCATGCTCCTTGTGGGGATTTAGGTACAGCTTAGCTAAGTAGGGTCGAGGCCTCTGTTATGTCATATGTTGATCACCATGGCACTGCAAGTGAGGGCCTGGTTGGCCACTGAGACCAGTGCACCCTTGGTCTTGATGCACAGATGGAGCAGCCCATGGCTCATGCTGTTTGTTCCACTCACACACATTCATTCAGTAAGCACTCAGAAGTTAAACATTCCCTTTCCCTTGAGAGTAGTCCTGACTAACAAGAGTTGATCAGACTCACCTTCTGCTTGAACTGAGCAAGACTGACAGACAGGCTAACTGGGTTACCCCCAGGAGTCTTACTAAAGTCAGGCAGGCAAGAAGGCAGGCAGACTGCATTCTCCTTCCTTTGGGGTCCATTGTGAGCCATTTCAGCAGGGTGCTGAGAATCTTCTTCCAGACCTACGAGGTGACTCTAGAAATCTCAAGGGCACATCTTCCTGTTGGCAATTGGAGAGGTCCTTGCTCTGTCCATGATCAAAAGGTCAGCACAGTCAGTCTGCCAGGCCAGTGTACCAAACATAATGCAAGCAGCAACACTGAAATGACACCCAGGATTTGAAGGGGTGATTTATTTAATGTTGGACACAGGAAATCAATTGTCCATCAAAATATCAGGCCCTGAAGGCTCCAGGAGAGAGGTTTTTGTGGGGGCTGCAAGCCCAAGTAGAGTAGTTGGCTGTCTTTGATTGGTTCTTGCAGTATACATCATAATGACCAGCTATGCATCACAGTGACCAGCCATTTCTAAGAAACAGAAGCAACTGGAACTGGAACCACCACCTAGGCAACTGAAGAATACGGCTGGACACGGGGGAGCATTTTCCACTACAAATGGGGTGCAAACTATTGGTCATGGATTATACCCAGCCCCCCACCTGTGTTAATATAAAAGATTTCAGTAGCATTTTGTCACATTTAACTGTTCTCATATCACCTCCGGCTATTTTGAGGTGGCAACAGTTATTGAATATTTGGGAAAGAGACACAACCAAAAATATTTACCACTTGGTTCTTTAGTAAAAGTTGCCAGCCCTCTGCTTTGTTTCATGATGTGGTTTTATGAATATAAATAAAATAGTACCAAAGTTCCCCAACCACAAGAAAAAGCACCAGAAATGCTGTCAGAGTCAAAAACAAAGTTAATTTTATTCCTCCTCCAAGGCAGGAGAATGTGACTAGAGGAACATGCTAAGTCTTCCTCCTTTTATTTATTTATTTATTTATTTATTTATTTTTTACTGGAAATTGAATTCATGACCTTGTGCTTGCCTTGTGTAAGCACCATGCCACCAAGCTGTATTCCGAGCCCACATGCTGAGTCTTCATGTCAAAGTCTTTATCTGATATCACTAAGGCATGGCATGACACACAGCCCTCTTCTCATGAGCCCTGGGTCACAATTTGAGTGTGAGATGTTTCCTTTCATTGCACCCAGTACCAGTTATGCCACCCAAGCTGTCAGCCCACATCCAGGGAAGATTAAGATACAGTTTTCCCTGGAGGACTTCTAGGATGAATTAGAAAGATAGATTAAGAAAAAAATTAAGACATAAAATACAAGAATGCAAACGAGGAATTCATTTCAATTTTAGCCAGAAGATTCTTCACCATGGAGAGCTTATCCAACATTTGGATGGATGAACAGTATTTCTAATAGCGCCAGTGCCTGCTGAGGTAAAATAAGCAGAGTTGTACAAATGAAGCAGCCAGTCAGAGGTTAGGAATCGGGAATGGCCACCAGAAAGATGTGGCTAAATTAAAATGGAACAGTTAAGGAAAAAGTAAAATCAGAGCCTAAACAGCAACATCATAAAAAATGACTTCATCTAAGAATGAAGTCGGCATCACCTGAGTGGAAGAAATCTTTCGAGGAGGCATTGTTGTTTCTCCAAAAGCATAGATTTATCTCCCGATAGACATGGGATATTCGGAGTTTGGGTCACTCTTAATTACTTGTAGATTGTACTCACTTTTCAGTGCACCTGTGTCAAGAACATTTTAAAATAAACAGTAGGAAAAACCATGCAAACAACCACATTCACATGGACACATTCTTATTTTTCCCTAAAGTGGCCTGCTTTTTCATTTTTTATCAAAGTACCAGCTCGCCTTCCAATAGCCATGCTCCTGGGGTTCATTTCATCAGATAACCCTCGGCCTGGGTTTCAAAGGCCAGACACTATGATATGCTAGATGTTCCTATGCCCCTGTGGCTACATCTTCAATAGAGGCCTTGCTATTTCCAATGCCATCCAGCTCTAGCCTGGGTCTGGTCCATGGGACAGTGCTCCTGATTGCTTATGGGAAGGACCAATGGAGAAATATATTCACAAGATCCATCCGCCTCTGCTATGCTGCTGCTATTACATGACATCCCTTTTGCTGCAAGCATTTCTTTACCTGGCTTTGTCATCTCTCTGCTTGAATGCCCGCCAGTAATCTGAACCACACACCGATTGCTTATTGAGTGGTGGGGCTGAGGTTGACCTTGCTGTTATGGACTGGGTGGATAAGAAGTGAGGTTTTTTACTACTGCTTTAACAAAGCTCAGATGTATTTCTGTTTAGGGCTTTGCACCATGTATTAATATATGATGCCTGTACAGTACCCATTGTGACACTTAACCTTTTGATTCACGAAAGTCAGTTTAATATTATTTTACTTCTCTCATACCTAGTAAAAGTCTATCTATCATGAGAAATATTACTATACTTATTTCTTATAGCATCTTTGAAAACTGGCGACCAAATGTAATTTTGCAGATTCCACATAATATGATGTTAGGTATTCCAACACATTTTGAAATAGGAGAATATCATGAAATTGAGCGCAAAAGAACCTGCTATTTCATCAGATTCGGTCTTAATGAATAAAGAGATGTTAATGAGAATGAATAGTGTGATGGAATGAAACACCCGGGGGTGAATATCAGATTGGATAATTATTGGCAATCTGTAAATTTGAATGTTATGTGCTTCTTCGTAGAAGATCAGCTGGGAAAAACTAGAAAAGGTGTGGTCCTGGTACAACCCCCCTTCCAAAGAAGACAGCCTGCTCGCCCTCTGGAGATTGGAGTTCCGTTCTACCAAGATAACCAACTGCAAGTCAAGGTCTACTGGAAAAAGACTGAAGGTACTTCAATGTTTTTGGCTTAAATGTTATTTGCTTTAAATAGCATAGTGATATAAGGATGTAGATACTTTTTTTAAAAAAAGTAAATATCAAGTCATGGTATTTCTACTTAGTCATATAATGAAGCACTTTAACATTTTGTTTTTCTTCTTTTCCCTTCCCTTCCTACCTTCTTCCCCTCTCCCTTCCTTCCTTCTTTCCCTCTTTCCTTTCCCCTCCCTTTCTCCCTTCCTCCCTCCCCCCTCCCTTTCTCCCTCCCTCCCTCCCCCCTCCCTTTCTCCCTCCCTCCCTCTCCCCTCCCTTCTTCCCTCCCTCCAACCTCCCTTTCTCCCTCCCTTCCTCCCCCCTCCCTTTCTCCCTCTCCTTCTCCCCCCTCCCTTCTTCCCTCCCTTCCTTCCTTTTTAAAAGAAATGCCTGGCTGTGTTGAAATCTAAATGGACTGAAATTGGTTCTGGAGGTCTATCTCACATTTTGTTATTAGGGACCATAAAGCCCTGAGTTTTCTTCATTTGAAGGATATTGGCTCATTTCTTTCCCAGAGTATTAATTGTGTTTCTGAAACACTTGCCACATTTATTTTGGTCTGTACTTTTTGTTCTGAATTATTTTTGATTTTAAAAGAAAGACCTGTAATATCTAACTTGGGAAACTGAAAAAAAAAAGTTACCCAGTATCTTAACACCAGTTCCCGGAGACACCACTTGAAAGAGTTTTCTTTAAAAATTTCCTGGGCGGGGATATAGCTCAGCAGCACAAGTGCCCATGTGGCAAGTGCAACGTTGTGAGTTTGATCCCCGGTACAAAAGAAAAGAAAAAAAAAAAAAAAAGGTCTTATGCGTATATTTCCTATTGAGTTGTTTGTTTTGTTGTTAGCAGCTTGTTGTGTTTTCTGGTACTGGAGATTGAACCCAGGAACTTTGCACTGAGCTACACCCTTAGTCCTTTTAAAATTTTTAAAATATGAGTCAAGGTCTCACAAAGTCCTCTAAACTTCCCAAGTAGGGATCAAATTTTCAACCCTCTTGTCTCATCCTCCCAAAGTGCTGAGGTTACAGGGCTATGTACTACAGTGCCTGGCCCACTGAGTTTTATTTTTTATCTTTATGTGTATGCAAGAAGATGTATGTGTAAAACATAAATGCACTTTTCCCTGTAACATTATATGAGCTTTCTATGTCATGCATTTTTCAAAAGATTTTCAAATCACTACATTGTATGCATGTATTCTAATAATATGTCATTTCTCCAGCACAGTGAGACAGTGAACTTCCATATAATTCTTATTCTACAATTAATGTTGCAGTGAACATTTATCCATGAGAGGGAGTCTTTTTATTTGATCATTCGTGTTTAGTATAAATTCCCCTTACTGGTTTCCTTTAATCTCTGTGTACTTAATTTGTATTATTGAAATACTGCTTACATGTTGATGAGATATAACAATTTTAGTTTAACTGCTTCTACCAATTTTAGAAAGAGAAGCAGAACAGGGAATTTTTTAATGGTTCATTTTCTAAAATCTCTTCATCTTTCTGAAATTCTGTTTCCTTGAGGCATTGACAGTTAATGAAGGATGGTGGTATGGAGTGGTTTTAGTTTCAAAATTTTCTTTCAAGCTGCTGAAACCAATTCTACAACTAAAGTAACATTGCCATTGTGATAAATATATTTCATGTGCCTCATAATTTCATTAAATTGAAATTGATTAAACTAAAATGGTATGATGGCATATTTGCATTAAAAATAATAATTCACACTAAATGTTGTTATGAAATCTACTAGACCATTACATTTATTAACTTCAAGTTAATGTTGTATAATATACATCAATATCATCACAGCTTAATATATTTTATTAATAATATGAAAGATTTAATAATGTGCTAAAAGATAATGCAGATGTAGGCATCTCGTATCAAAAAAGTAAACATCCCAAGCCTACAAGACCATCAGCCACTTTCCTGACTTCTAAATCGGAAGCTTTTGTTTGCATTCAAACTTTGTGAAAATGGAATCACAGAGTTCGAATTCAGCTTCTTGCGCAGAGTATCGTGTAGCACAGGAATCTATTCTGAAACATGGATTAACTCCTTTATTTTGCCTCTGCATCTTTTCATCTGTAGTTGGAGACTTCAGTGGCTTCCAGTGTGGCCCTATTCCCCATAGTGCTGCTGAGTGTTCCCCTATAAACCTGTTCTTCCTGCTTGGTGGAGGAAGGGATCTTGAACCCTAGAGCAGGGTGCACTTTGAGAGACACTGCTAGATTTCCAGAGTGCTGATACCAGTTTGCATTCCACCAGTAGACTGTGAACCTGAAGGCCAACACACGCTCACTGCTCCCACTGTAGCTACTGATCATGTGTGTAGCAACAACTCACTGTTTTAATCTGCACCTTTCTGACCCCACTTTTTCATGAGCGCCTGGCATCAGGTCAGCTCTTTTCTGAAGCTCTCTCACAGCTTGATCCACGCTGTCTTGCTAAAAGTCTTCATATATCAAGTATGAATCAGAATTTTTCCACTCTAACCTCTCTTTTTCCCTTGGAAATTTCCTGATCTCTAACTGCTGTGACATCATTTATTGAAAAATGATGATTCCCAGCCTGAGTGGCCCTCTTGCCCTTAAATTAATTTACAAGTTAATTTGAGGAGTTTTGTATTTGGTATATGTTCCGAGTTTCTGACAGCACTTCACTGCCGTCACCTCTGTATGTTTATCAGTCTCTGAGTTTTTACTTCCTTTTCACATTGTCTTTACAATGCTTGTGCTTTTGCATTTTTATATGAATATTTGCATTCTTTTAATTTCACAAAAGCCTTCTGAAATCTTTATTAGGGTTGCAGTCCATCTATGTGTCAATGGTTAGAGAACTCACATTCCTGACTTCTCAATCTGAGGCTTTTGCTTGTGTTTAAACTTGGTCAAAATGGAACCACAGAGTTTGAATATTATAAGCCCAAAATGTGGTACATCACCTTATTCCGGTATTAAAATTTTCTTTCAATTCTATCTTACATTGTGAAGAGGCTCTCTCACATTTTAGTGTGATTATTCCAAGATATGTTTATTTTAGTCTGATTATAAGTGACATACTGTTTCCTCAATTTCATTCTCTAAATTTTGTCACTGGTATATTATAAATGCATTTTATCTTTAAATGTCGACTGTGAGCCCAGCAATATTGTTATGACCTTGATAATTCTAGTGTCATACAATGATTCCTTTGAGTCTTTCTCTAAAACCAATATGTAAGTTTTCATAAGAATTTTATATTTCCTTTTGCAGATCTTTGACACTTTACCTTCTTTTCTTAGCAAGACTTTGCTATAAAAATGACTATCGTGATAATAATAGCTTTGATGTTTAACTGTGAGGTTTTTGTATATAACACTTTTCAGATTAGTAAAATTTTCTACTGCTCTGACCTGGGAGGCTAGAGCCATGAACAGAATTTCACCCAGGTTTTTCTGCATGTTGTAAGATGATCAATGAATTCTTCTCCTTTATTCTATTAATGGGATGAGCTGAAAAAGCATGACAGTTCATTTCCTACCTTTGTACTGAGGACAAATAAGATTATTCATGCAGATTGCTTAAAACAGTGCCCCCAACAAAGCAAGCACCCCAGGTATTTAAATGTGAAGATTTTTATGATGCTTTTGTAGGTAGGGCTGTCAAGGTGGCCAAAGGGCAGAGAGGGAGCAGGACAGCAGGACAGATACCAAAAGTCACTGAGGCTCACTTTGTAACGTTTTCTACCGCAAACACAAAATAGCAATGCTTTTTAAACAATGATTTTGTTGTCCAAGTTGCAATGTAAATGCTATAAAACTTGAGAATCTTGTGAAAGTGGGGAAAAGAAAAGGGATCGACTTTCATTGTACTTTACTCTCAAGTAGTAAGTTTATCAATGTCCCCACACAACTAACACATGCATGACAAATACGGAACCACGCTTACCCTGTGTGTCTTTCAGACCGACACGTTTCTGTGATTTGCCATATTCTTTAGCTTTTGCTTTATATGACTTTTGGTCATACACTTACTTGTTGATAGATATATGCACACACATAACCACATGCATTACTTTAAGTTAGAAATAAATGTAGAAATACCAGTGGATTTCTTAAATGTGGAAACCATTATAGAAATCACAGGCAGAAAACTGCCAATATTTCCTAGCAAATATTAGAGTACATGCTATTATCGAATTTACTTTCCAATTAATGAAATGATGGATTTAGGGTAAACAGGCAGTAACCAGAAAGTGACCTTGATTTTGGCTGTCAGATGGATTTGGGGCTGATTTGTGTCTGGTGATGTGGACGTGATTTGCTGGAATAGTGAATTCTCTGGAGTAAAACAAATATTTTCAATAGTGAGTTTATACAGCTCAGATGATTTTAAAAAGGAATATTTCATTTAGTTAATTTTGTTGGTAATATTGCTATCTTATTGACCTTTCACTGTGTGATAATAGAATACACATTTCATTGTTTAGGTCTTTCTGGCCTCCAACTTTGTATTTTCACAACATAAATATGAAAAACTAGCTCCCATGATAAAATATAAATGTACATAAATAGCTCACACTGTCATGGTTTTTTATTTGTATTATTTTGATTATTGTGTTTTTGCCTTTTATTTAGTTTGCTTTCATATTTTCCATCCCTGGGGGCTGAAAACACAGATGTGGGTACGGAAAAAGTGGGCCACTTACCTCATTAGGGAATGTTGCTTGAACATTGCTATGTTTAATATTATAGCTAGAGACTGAGTCCCATAATCATAACCTAAAGTACTAACTAACCCTCAGACTTTTAATAATTGGCAAGACAAAAAGAAGCCAAAGGCAAGATATGTGTGTAACTGAATATCGTGGAAGCAGGTACCTATGAATTAATTCCCCAAGGTGCACCAATGGCAGAATCTTCATGAAGCCTGACAGAACAGATCCTTATTTAGAAGGAGAGGGATGCAGCCCTGTACCACCTTCATTTTATCCTGGTGAGATTCATTCCGGTCCTCTCACCTCCAGGAGATAACATGGCAATGTTCTTCCAAGCTAGGACATTTGGGCTCATTTATTATAGTAGCCGTAGAAGGCGAGCATACAGTACAATGTGATTTAAAACTTGTACCAAGCTTAGTGTGCTGCCCGTACTGGGGTCCTTAGCTTTAGACAAAGGAAAGCAGGTAGAAGAATAAGATTCTAGTACTCATCCATCCATTCAAGTCCACATTCCTTCAGTATTGTGCATGTGCCTCAAGATTCTGCTACCTGCAGCTTGAATCCAAGGCGGGGTGAATTTAGAGGGGTAGTTTTACAAACACAGGGTTCAAAAAGACCTTGTACCAGACAGTAAGTTAGAAGTACCGGCTAGTCGTTAGGGGAGTAGCGTGGTGCCTGGGGGTAAAAAATGTGTGAGCGTGGGTAGGAAAGTAATTGTTAAAACCACAGCAAGGAGTAAAAATATCCCTGGAGGTGACATGGAGAGGGTAGAACTCCAGCATGGCGGCTTTTCAAGCTGAAGAGATTATCTCCTGTGTCATTCTTGGTGACTCTTCCAAGGAAAACATAATGACATTGTAAAATTTGCAAAGGAGTCATCCTGCTTGTACTGTAGCAAACTGAAGTTCCTCCGCTACTCCTGACTGAAGGACATTGGTCACACCTGGATCCTGTCTTGGGACATTGACACTCGTGATATTCCCTGCAGCCAGAACCAAGCCCTCCAATATCATAGCCACAAGCCACTACCCCACTTGCAGTGGAATAAAATAGAATTAAAAATTGATTTCTGCAGTGGCACTGGTGACATTTCAAGGAATTTCTAAGCATAGGCAACCGGTGGTGACCACTCAGTATAATTTGGTCACCACAGATGCTAAACTTGTTTCAAGCCCTTCCTCTAGGCATGAATAGAACACTGGAACCCTGTCATTGTGTCCTACCTGCCTACTGCCTGCATCTATCTATTCCCGTCTCATTGGACATACATCTCATTTTGGTGTTTGTTTGTTTATTATCTGTCTAGTTCCAAAATGGCAGCTGCTTCTATGGTACTGTTTCACTCCTATTGAACAAGAGAATAAGGGTACTCACTGAGGGGCCTCAGCCTTGTATATAATGCATAATTTGTTTCTTAAAAGTCCCTGTTTCAGTTGTATAAAAAGTAAGACCCCCTAGTTTAGAGATTTCCCTTTTAACTAAACATCGTGAGTGCCTACTTGATATCTGTTTACTTCCACAGATTTACAGTTCTTCTTTTCTGCTTCCAAATTGCTCAGAGCAAGTTCGTACTAGATCAACTCAATTTCATCAAAGTGTTTTTTCTCTCTCTGAAACCACTTGATGTGAGTGAACATTTGGGACAAAATGTTAATCACTGGCAAAAAATTTCACACCCCTGGATTCATGGGGCTGATGAACAAATCCAAGGCTGTCAGAGTGGTTTTCTCTCATGCCATGAGTTGCTGGTCCATCATTTGCTCTTTTTTCCCACTGCATTGTTGAAAATAAAGAAATACACAGAAAGTACATTGCTCTGTGCAGAAAGGAAATTATGCAAAGGTTCATTATTCCTGCCTATGACTTGGAACTCAGGGAGGAGAGATCAGAGATGTGATAATCCATGCATAGAACTCTACAGGTGCTGACTCATCTGATAAGAGAACTTTCCTACAGTACTCCTGGTAATTGGAGCATATTTTTGGTGTTGTGTGAATCCAGTGCCTTGTCACCTTTATCCAAAAAACAAAAGAGGCACCTCTAAGGATTCTCCCTTAAACACAAAGTGAAAGAGTTGCTCCTTCGACTTCTCCTGGCCGGTTATGCTACCTTAATCTCAATAATCATAGCATATTTGGAATCATTTCATTATTAATTTGCTATTTCTTTTTCTTTTCTAGTTAATGCTTGCATTTCAACACAAAGTTGCCTTTGGCACTGTCTCACTGGTTCCCTACTTACTTTTTAAGTAATCAGAATTATACCAAAGCTGTGTAGCTCTTTTGGCTCATTTACACATTTTTAAAAATTTCTTATAGACCTTCATGCTCTCTCTTTGTCTTCTCTAGATTTTAAGAACATTACATGATATGATGTTGTGACTCAGGTGTTGAATGTCCCCCCAAAGGTTGGTATGTTATGGCCACCAGCCTGATGCTACTGGGAGATGGTGCAGCTACAGGAAGTTGCATCTTTGGGGAGCTTAGGGGTGTGAGAAATTCTTTCTCTCTTTGGCTTCCCACCCATCAGGAAAGTGGCTTTGCCTCCTGCCCCACTCCCCCCACGACTGGCTGTTTCCCCAGAGGACCAGAAGGAATGGGTCCCTCCACTAGTGGACTGGAGCCTCTTGACGCTATAAGCTGATCATTTCAGATCTGTATTCATCAAGTTAAATGACACTCATTGAATGGAACTTGCAGGCTGTTTTTTGTTCCTGTGTTTTGACATTGTAGATCCAAGCGTCAACCGATACCACGTGCAGTGGCTTCCAGAAGTCTGCACCCACAACAGGACAGCGGGAGCAGAGACATCTTCGGGTGTGACACATGTAAGGAGATGAGTGTGCCTGCCCTGACCACTCTGAGTGAGTGGTTTCTAGATGTTTTAGATGTGGGCTCTCATTGGACAGGAAAATGTGCAAAGGAGGGCTGTCACGAGGGTCACTCACTGTCACAAGCCAGCCAACAAAGCACGGCTTGGTGAAAGGGTCATGGTCGCTATACCCATTCATCTTTTTCTTTTTCATTTTTCATCAGTGCGTGTCATGGCCAACACAGACACTGTGTGTCTATTCTAAAACACAGACATTGAGGGCACGGTGCTTGAGAGCTGATGGGTCAATGAGAAGATACCTAACGAGGGTCCCTGTGCTTCATTTGAACTGGAAAGGCCCTCGGGATTTTTGTCTGAGTTTGGCACCATCGACACATTTGCTTGATGAAAACGCTACGTGGTGACACACCCATCTTTTGACTTTTAACTCTAAAAGAACATGAAGCTTCTTGGGATAGCAGCTTTGTCAATTTCACATCAAACGTTTCAAGTATTGTGGGGGTTAATACATCAGTTGGAGATCAATAAGCCAACAGAAATATTTAAGAAAGCATGTTGTTTTTTGTACAAAGTATTGATTGCAATCTACATGCAATGTGCTGCAACAGTTTAAGAAATAGTAGTAATAATAAAAGACATGGCCTAAAAGGTGATAATACTTTGATTTGTTAAATGTCAGAAGATCACTTTGCATCTCAGTATTCTCCAACCAATACAATATGTCTATGATCAGCTCTGATCATATGACTTTAAGATGAGCTAAACCACATGGCCAGATTTTCAGCGATTTGTAGTGGTTTAAAAGAATACATGAGGGCTGGGGGTTTAACTCAGCGGTGTAAGTACGTGCTTGGGAAACGCAAGGTCATGAGTTCGATACCCAGCACGAAACAAACAAGTATATATGATTCATTTCAGTCTATGTTCTTCAATGTTTTTGCTTTAAGTTTTTCTCAAAACCTGTGGCCATCTGGGACATTAAAAAAATTATAAAGTGACTTTAAAAGTACCGAAATAAGCAAACAAACAGTGCCTTGAGACCCCTAGATTTTTTTTCAACCCCCCAATCCTAAATTTCCCATTTTTAGGAACTGTGACGAGGATAACTATTCACCAAGCTTATATACTGAATCTGGTAGAAATAAGACCCAAAACCCGACAAAAGTTTGTCACCGAAGGCTTAAAACTCATCTCTTTTCATTATAAAATGGCTTTGAGACACTGTAGTTCACTTTAGGCTACAGCACAGCCTCCACCACCTTTCCTCCCATGGTCTTCTACGACACAGGAGGACAAGTCTGAAATAAATGAGAGACGGAGTCCTTACTGGCTAAGCCTGGGTCACAGAATACTGCCACAAACTACGCAAATTCCTTCTTAGGGAAAAGCAATTCAGGCCCCCATAGAGACACAGCAGACTGGGGCCCTCTGCGTGTGAGATTTCTGCTCACATTTTGATGCTAATTGCCCTGAACTGGGTCCACCTTCCCTATTTCTAGATCCAGGGCCAGCGTCCCAGGCAGTCACCCCTCATCCTCTGTGTGCATTTCGTGCTGTATGCCTGCAGAAATTCTTATCACCCAGTAAAGTCTTGAGCTTCCCTTTTTATGTTTGCTTTGTGGTTTTTCCTTCGCCCTCCCACTGTCTGGTAGGAAACCTGATGCTTTCCCTAAAGGGAAGCAGACAAGGATATCCCATCTTTTATACACACATTAAACACAGAATAGTATGCATAAGCCTAACTGAACAGCCAGATGTAGAATAATCTTAGCTGCAGATGTGTGCTAACGGCAAATGCCCTCAGTTACTGTGGGAGTGTACTTCAGTGCTACGGGTTTCCAGCTTCTGGGCTGTTTCCCCTACTTCTTTAAATCACAACATTACAGCAGGAAGGAGTAACAGAACTGCAGAAAGGGGGGAAATGTTGCTAAATGATATCTTTTTTTTAACAGAAAAGCTGGCATGTAACCTAAGCCTGGGTTATTTTTTTTTAGCAAAAAATAATATTAGAATTGTGCGTCTAGCTTTCCATTGCTGACCCCAAAATGCTTGCCGCTAATGTTCGAAGTCGTGTGCTTTGAAATGAAACCGTGAGGTGCTGCTGAATTCTAGAGGACAGATCCCACAGCTATGGGAAACTTTTCCAATTGTCATTCATCAAAGCGTGGACATTGTGTGTTCATTGTCCATTTTTATGAAAACCATATTGTCCCTGCCATATATATATATACAAAAAGATCCTGTTTGGGGTGTGATTTCAGTTCCAGCCAATGTTTTATCCCAAATGAGATTTAGGATTTATTGCTAGCATTTTCTCTTTCTCTCATGCTAGGAAAATTATATCATACTTCAAGACCTGTCGTTCTCCTGCAAATACAAAGTGACTGTCCAACCCATACCGCCAAAGGGTCTCTCAAGGGGAGAAACCATTTTCTTCACTACCCCACCATGCTCTGCTTTGAAGGGGAAGAGTCACAAGCACATCAGTTGTCCCGGGGACACAGGTATGTTCAGACCTGCGGAATCTGCACGACAGGGTCTAAGATAGCAGCAGGGCTTGGATACTCATTTCCAAAGCATGTTTCACAAGACTCCACAACCCCCAAGCACCTCCTTGCTCAGTCCTACCATAGAAAGTGTCATCAAACTATGGGGTTAGTGTAAGAATTAAAAATTTTAATTCAGTGTGACACAATGCAAGTGAACCACCCTCAAAATCGCCCCCTTCTCTTTGAACACACTCATCCCATCATCCTTCCCACTTTCCGGAGCAATTCTGCATTCCTCTTTCATGAGGTGTGATCAAAGTGACAAAGAATGCTGCCACTGAGTGTCATCCAACTGAGAGGCATGAAAACATTCAGGGGCATGTCCTCATCCACCTTCTTCCCTGAATCTGGCTCCTTTGACTTCTGACTTTTCCATGAAGTCAAAGTGACCATGGAAGGTCGACATGTGGAATCCATTCAGGACACAGAGGCGGCCATGACAACACACATGAGAGTCTCATGAAAGAGGACCTGTAGAATGGCTCCCACAATTGTCAAAAATAATTGGAGTTGTGCATCCAAAGTGAGAGGGAATATTTTCATATTAATGGCTCAGTGTCTTTTGCCATAATGATTTTTTTAAATGTAAATATTCACCATGTTTTTGGGTCACATCTCACAGTGGCTCCATTGGGAGGGCACAGATTAGGAATGTATGTATTATTTCATAATCTTAGCAATGTTGGAATGATGTCGTTTGCTGACAGTATTAACCCACCAGAAAGGAGGGCAGGGGGCTATGTACGCATTGCACTTGGTAAACATCAAAGTCTATTTCATTTGTATCCACCCCTCTGCTGTGGGGAAGATACCATATCAACTCACCCAATCCCATGTGCCTGCCCTCCAGCCCTGCTAAAGTTTCTGCAGCTGGTTCTCTAAGCCTCCCTACCTGGAACCCCCAGATCCCTCCATCCATACTTCTAAGAGATTTGAGATCCACCCTTCTCACCATAGTCATTACAGTTGTAAGAAATGATTCAGTCTTGCCAGAGAGTAAAGGTCTGTCCTTCCCAGAGCAGAATTCTATTTCTTTTGGTACTGAGAATCAAACTCAGGACCTTGCACTTGCCAGGCAGGCACTGTGCTGCTGAGCTGTATCCCTGGCCAAAGTGCAGTTCTAGAAATAATCTCCAAAGGATAAATGCTTGGCACAAAGATGGAGTGGTGAGACTCCTTCTTAACCTTTTCCCATATGTGAACAAGGAGATAGCTTAAACCCATGTCTAAAAGCGAGGTCAGATGGCTGCCATTTCAACGACAGCCACAAATTCCTGGAATGAATACATGAATGAATGGATGGATACTTTTCTACAATAACTCAACCCTGGCTTCTTTTTCTTCTTTCATTTTTAATATCTCCACAGGTCACACGCTCTCCAAAGTGCTCGCCAAGCCAGAGAACCTTTCTGCTTCATTCATTGTCCAAGATGTGAATATCACCGGCCACTTCTCTTGGAAGATGACCAAGGCTAATCTCTATCAGCCCATGACTGGATTTCAAGTGACTTGGGCTGAGGTCACCACTGAGAGCAGACAGAACAGTTTGCCCAACAGCATCATCTCCCAGTCCCAGATCCTGCCGTCAGTAGGTGGAATTTACTTTCTCTGTCCCCATCCTCAGAGCCCGTGGCTTGATTTCCTAGGCAGACCCTCGAGGTAGTCATTTCGGTCTTGTGTGCTTCTTGGGTCACCTTCTGGTGCTCTCATTTTCTTCTGAGCTGATCATTTTATAAACATTGACACCTTGCAAGTTTTCTTATGACTGCAAAGAAGCAGCATGGCCCAGCCTTTATCCCTGCTACACTTTGATTAGTAAATGATTCCCAAAGGCCTTATGTTGGCTTTGCATGCAAGGGATTTTGCTTTGTTCTTCTATCTTTGTTAACCCCGTGTCCTCTGGTCCAAGTAGACATGTCCTGTTTGAAGTGCTAAACTGGGGCGAAATAGTTCAATGGAGCCTTTTATTTGTCTTTATTTTATTTGTCTGTATTTCTTCCTTCAGATTTGGCTACAACCCACATGAGCTGGCCCATCTTTCCAAGCCACTTAATTCCCTGGCTTGAAAAAAAAATCATGTGTGGGCTTTTACCCATTCTGCAAATCTTCTCAGAATCTCCACCACTTGCTCAAAAATCCAAAAAAGAGGAAAAGAAAAAAAAAAATTCAATCTTGGAAGGAAATGTTCCATGGAATGAGAAACTAGTTATTTGATGAATGTACAAGGTTTTATTGAGTTTTTAAGAAGAATGTGTTGGCATAAAAATAAACATTTTCGGTGATGGGCATTGACAGATAGGTTGCGTTTTAAGGAACACAGTTGGCTCATTCACTGAAATTTGGCCCATCTAGCATTCACATCACAAGATGTGGCACTGAGGATGGGAAACCATGGGAAAATCTTGTGTGAAGGCCTAAAAATGAGCCAATAAAGATGAAATCCCAGGAGCGAGTGCTGAGAACCAGCTCCACGGCCCATTTTAACTCTTTCAGGCGCTGCAGCCTGCCTAAAGCTTTTAGCTCTAAGGCCTTAGGGAGCCATGCGTGGTAGGGAATTGTGCTGCAAATTAAGCGCTAGTCCCTGCAAGGCTGTGAATGAGCATCCTGTCTCCTGTGTGTTCTCAGGATCACCACGTGCTCACTGTGCCCAACCTGAGGCCATCCACCCTCTATCGCCTAGAAGTCCAAGTGCTGACCACAGGTGGGGAGGGCCCGGCCACCATCAGGACCTTCCGCACCCCCGACCTCCCACCCTCTGCCATACGCCGTGAGTAGCACCTTGGGGTGTGAAGGGGGCCAGGAGGACCTGGTGCATAGCAGGGAGGGAAGTCTTGGTGATAAATAAAAATAAATCAATCATTACAGATTTCCACAGAGGAGGAAATATGAAGTTTTAATTTAAAACTTTTAAGTGTGACAGTATCTGAAATGATAAAAAATAGTGTTTGTTTTCTTAATTACATAGATTTTATTGTCATATATGACATGCGTTTTCCTATAGTTCCAACATAATATACCCACATCCATCTACGTGATTTTAACCAAGGAAAAGTAAGTCAAGCAAAATTGCAAAACAAAAGTATGGCCTCCTACTCTTTCAAAGCAAGTAGCTTCTTGCTGGTTTTTATTATAAATTTTTCAGCCTAAGTTTTAAAAACAACAGCTAAAGATTTGTGCATTGGTGAGAAGATGGAGAATTAGTCTTCGTTCTAACTCTGATATAATGGATTGAACTTACCTCTATGAATTGGTCTGATGATTGAGTGCAGAAAAGCAAAAGCTATCAGGGTGAAAGAACTCAATGACCCGTTTGTTTGTAGAAGTTTGTATTAGTTAGCTTCTCCATCCCTGAGACACAATACCCAATTCTCACAATTGCAGGAGGAGAGGTTTAATCCGGCTCATGGTTTCAGAGGTTTTAGTCCATAGTCAGTTGGCTCCAAGGCAGAAATATTGTGGTGGAAAGACAGGTAGGAAAGACAGAGCAAAGATGCTTTAGGTCATGATGGCCAGGGAACACAGGCCAACAGTGCCAGGGAGGAAAGAGGAAGGGACCAGATATAATACCCAAAGTCACATTTCCATGACTCACCCAAAAGGGTGCTCCACCAGGCTCTTGGGGTTGGTCCCTAGTCAATCAAGTTGGTGCAGTCAAGAGTAAGCACCACGGAATTGGAAGAAACCCCTTACTGAAACACCATTTATTAAAGTTAATTTAAAGAATCTTGTCTTTGACTGCCACACACTGTATTGTTTTTATTTTTAAAAGCAAAACAAAGGATAGAAACGATACAGAATTTTTAAAAAATGGGAGATTAACATTAGTTAATATATTCCATATTATCTTAGAAGTTGTTGCTCATGTTATAAGATCTAGGTGTGAAAAAAGTGATCAATCAAACAATGACAGCTCAAACTGTTCTTTTTGATGAACTAACAGAGAATAGTAGTATAGTTATCTATCTCATACACACACACCTATTAACATGTAATCTTTTCCCTTCTTTCTTCTCTCCTTTCCCCTATCCCAGTTGTTCTTTCCTTTTTAAAAAAAAAATTATTTAAAGAAAGACCAAAAAAAAAAAAAAAACAGAAAATGAGTAGAAATAATACATATTTTCAAAGAAAAAATAAGCAGTAAGAAATCATTAGTTGAGGATTATGTGTTGTCCTCTTACAAGTAGTTGTTCAAGATACAAAAGTGAACCATACAAAGTGGGGATTCAAACAGCGAGACTGCAAACAGTTCTATTCAACTATCCATCAAAAACTTAGTAATATGGTTATCAATCCTATACAGTTAAACGTACATGCAGTTATCCATATTGGTTCATTTCATCATGCGTTATAAGATCAGTTCTCCTAAACTCTTTATAGGTTCTAAACATGCATGAGTCTTAACATGTATTTCTAGCCTTTCTATATTACAGGGAGAAACAAACAAAGCAAGACAAAACAAAACATATTCCTATAAACAAATGAAACAAAAAAGACATATAAAACCGCTGTACAAGGAGTTCTACCATGGTTACTGTGTTGTTTCTTGTTATCTTCAATAGAATTGGCTATATCATCAGACATAGTATATTTGAATATAGCAGTGTATAACAATATTAATAAAAAAAAAACAACTTGGTTGTGTTCTTTCCTTTTGAGCACTTTCTTCCCCTTTCATTATCACACTATCTGTGGTACATTTTGAATGTTATACTCTTTCAGGTTTTAATGTTTTTAAAGAAAATTAAAAGATCATAATTAGCATAGAAATGAGCTTACAAAGGGAGCCTGTGTTTTCTGTCTTGCTTGGGGAAGGAGAAAAGGATAGAAAGAGATACACTCGGAAAGGAGAGGGTCAGAGAGAAGAGACAGAGAGCAAGCATGAAGGAACAAGCATTTGAATGTTCAGATGCTGAGTAGGAAAGAGCATATCTCACTGTAGGAGGGAATGTTTGAGCAGTTCTAACGCAGTTGCTACAAATCACTCTTTGTTGACTGTGTAACATGTAGGACCGATGGCTCTTGTCTCTTCCTAGGTCCCCATCTGAAGCATCACCATTCACATCATTTCAAGCCCTCTCCAGAGAGATACTAAACCACTCCCAGTCTGTCTCAGCATTGTCCGGGTATGCACGCTTGTTGAATTTCAGCCTCTACACATGCGTCCTTCTAGAATGGTAGGAACTTCTCAGACCATTAGCACAATTAGTACTTCTGCCAATCACAGACACATCTGAAAACATTTGATCAGTTGTCATCCAGAGCAGAGTGCCCTCGCAAAGAGGAGAAAATGGAAGACGATGTCTGTGCAACTGTGACTTTCATTTCTGTGTATGGTTTTGCTGATGTCTTGTGAATCACTGTGGAATTGAGATTTCCTTGAATTTGGAGCAGCAAGGTCTTCCAACAGAGTAGTGTAACACATATAGAGTTTATACACATACTCAATATACATTTAATCAATGAAACATATTTTTTATTAAATTGTTGCTTTGGTTTGCAAAACCAACTAAGATTATACAGACTTTGAGTACTATTTATTTACTCTTTCATGAAGTCTTTTTATCATGGATTTTTTTTAAACTGAAAGTTTATAATCTGAATTTTATCCATGAAATTTAATTAAAAAATGTTCCTTATTTATACCCCCTAGACTTCTTTTTATACAAACAAAAATGAAAGCTCAGTCTGTCATTTATTATCTATGAGACACCCAAAACTCCAGGTAATCAGTGTATGAGCTGCTAACCAGATTTTGCCTTGGAGAAATGGGAAATTCTAGGGATCCCTTTAAATGTTTCATCCTGTCTGAGAGATTTTCCTGATCTGTTACTTTATTTATAGTCCCCCTTGATGCAGAAAACAGCTGTTGATGTGCTCTGTTTTGCCATCTGAAAATTGACAAAGCCGCCTGCTTCAAGGGAAAGAATCACAGTCCCTGGACATTTTCAAATCTCAAAAAAGATTTGATTTTTCTGAATCCAAGGAAGTTATTTGCATGATATAATATTTTCAGTAATATAAAAGCAAAAGGACTTTGGTTAATTTTAAAAAGGGTGATTATCTGTCTTTTATTCAAACTTGACTCTTTCAAATCTATTAAATTTTATTATTTGGAAAATTATTTGTATTTCAGCCTAACCATGTGAGCTCTAATCCACACTGATACTGTGTTCTGGGGCAGGCAGCCTAAACACAGAAACATTTAGTTTCCTCTGATTTTTTTTTATTTGTTTCTTGAGAGACTGCACCTATATGTGGTTTTAAACATGCAGAGCTATGTGTCTATATACTTGTAATTGTGTGTATGTGTATGTATATATATATATATATATATATATACACACACACACACACAAATATATATATACATATAATTATATACACAGAGAGACACTTACATATCTGGGTATGAATCTCTAAAGAATTTGTTTTCATTGTCTTACTAGTGGTGAATAGAGATGTAGTTATTCCAGTGTTGATAAGGATCATGTATTTTCCCTAACAAGGTGGACTCCATGGGAAAAGAGCAATTTATCAAAATTAATCTCCATAAAAGAACGGCTTCTTCATTTCATCATCTACTCAAGAATGAGATGGAAAAAACTAGTAAGGTTAGTGTTAGTTCTAGCTTTTAACGAGAGGATTTATTGCTGGTCCTTTGGCTGTCTCTGGGAAGCAGGCCTGGCCGTGCCTGGGAATGTGAATTCTGGGATTCCTTGAGCCCTTGTATAGTGCACAAAGAAAGACAGTTGGAAAATAAGATGGAGAGAAGCTCTTTTTGTCATTATATTGACACCGATCCTTAGGAGACACAGTCTAGTTATTGAACACTCTTCCCTGTATGTTAAAGCATTTAGAAAGTAGAGAATGTCTCACAGCTTTCTGCAGGTAACATAAAATGGAAATTTAGACTAGAATGGAAGTCTACGTGTGTTCTAAAGGGTTTCCTGCAGCCATCACAGTGGGCTGGATGGAAAACAATGAGCAGGGTATATTCTCAAAGAATATGAATGGAGAACACAGTTTTCAGCGAAACCCACCCTCTCACCAAATGCAACCAATCATCACAGAGATGTGAAGCTACCATCACTCCAGCCCCATTACAGCCTTTGAATTCAAGTTCTTAAAAGTTCAAAAATTACAACTTCTTATGATTGTCTCTGCGTTTTATCTTTTACCTTGAATTTTCATCAATCTAACTGTACCAGCAGTGTTTTTTACTATTATCTAGTTTGAAATGTAGCAGTATATACCTAGATAAAGTTATTATTAAATTCTTATATAAATTAACTTTCTAAAATTTATGTTTCTTTTGTCTGCATAAATGACAGTGAGCAAATTTTTTTTTACTTCAGAAATTGATCTGAAGTTTATATCATGCATAGGAAAACTAAAACAGCTTTTGTGAGCATCTAATTTGGATACAGTAATGAAAATTAGTGTTCTCAGATGAAAACTGCTATTAATGAGATAATCAAAGAGATGTGTTTCCAGCCTGAATTTTAATAATCTCTAATAATAATGAATGATAAAAATGCAATTATAATTTTTTGAAATTTAGACATGTGAGCACCATCTTTGATGAAGCAGCTTTTGTTCTTTGTTCTCTAATATATTGTAATAGATGCATTTTCCTCACAAAAATATATTCATAGTTTGCATCTGCTCTCCAAAACATTGAGTTCATCAAAAATGTTGTTATCAAAGACAGGTGGTTAATTTGATATGTAATACAACTGTACGCATATTTTTTCTAACTTAGGCCACTCACCCCTTAATAATGAATTTTTCTGTGCTTCCCTCTTTTCCTAAGTAGAACTCTGTGGAATGAGGTTCACAAATCAACATGTAGCCTTTCAATTGTTTATTGCTTCTTAGGATATATTATAGACAGAAAGCTTACAGTGTGTGACTTTTTAAAATACATTTCTTAAACAGCACTCAGAGATTACAAATACATCTGAATTATAGCAGCCCAAAGGTGGCATACGTGGCTCCAGGGATCAGCATACATCCTCTTCAGCACTATTAACTCGGGGGCTAGATAGTTCTTTATCATGGGAGTCTGGACATTTTGGGATATTCATAAAATACCCCAGGACTTCCGTCCCCTTACCACCCTTCCCCAGATTGTGGCAACCAAAAAATAATGTCCCCAGGTATTTCTCTGTGCCCCTAGGAAAGGGCACCTCCAGTTAAGAACAAGTGCAGTAGAGTGATCTTTACAGAATAGAGGAAAATTAGACTTTGAAAAGGAATCAGCCCTGGAAAAATTTCAGCCAAGACCTTAATCCATTTGACTTCCCAAACCTTCTTTTTAATCCTTTTATGCTCCCTGAAAACACAGAGATCACTGTCGCTGTTAGGCTGAGTTTCAACTTGTCGTCTGATTCATGCACGCAGAAGTATTAAGCGGCTCCGTGCCCCAGTAAATGCTATTTGTGAAGTCGACTTATTTATTTAATGCTCTTTCATACCCTGTGACCGTGAGCTCCTTGAGTTTCATGATTTCCGTGATTACACACCACTCTAAATCTTGTTGGGTAAACATTCATGCTATAACCAGCACTCAAAGGCTGAGGGTCTGCATGTACTTCAGAGTTCGTGCTACGATGTAAACAAATCCACGAAGATGTTTCGTCAGATGTTTCCTCTGGTGTTGCATGGCCACGCAGTTTCACGCGAGCTGCAGACTCCCTGATTGTCTTACCGCTCCTGAATATTAGCAAGTTATACCATTTACAGAGTGATTAACAGAGGTTTATCTAAAGTTATTATTTTTTCTTTGACTTCCCTCTATTATAATGTGCAGATAAGAAAACTGCTACTTTCTCATCCAAATGGTCTGTAGAAATCATGTCTCTTCTTGTGCTCATTTGAAGTCAGTATTTATTTATGTATGTAATAAGAAGTCCAGTTTCTGTGTATGTCTGTCATGGTATCTAGAGAGAAGGAATCTTGTAAAAAAAAATTTGTAAAAAAAAAAAGAACCAGAAAAGTATTGTAAATAGCCTGATATCCTGTGAGTCATTATTTTCATGTTAGAGTTTGTACATACTGATTCAGTAATAAAGTATCTTTAAACCTGTCCGACAAGTTGGCTCACTTATTTCATAGCACTTTTTTTTTTTTTTTCATTTAAGAAAAAAGTAGAGTTTCCTATGTTGCTGGGGGAATTCAAAACCCCTGACTCTCTCTGAGAGCATGAATGGAATTTGCGGTCTGGTCAATGTGAACAAGACAGCTCATTTCAACTACTGTTTTGGAGTCCAGTTGTCAACACTGTAGAGTTATGTCATCATACTTACAAGTGTAACTCCCACTATTTTGGGTGGCACTTTTAAAAGCCATGACCCACAACCTTCAGTCTCTGTTTCCTGCCTCAGTATCTCATAATGCAGTTCTGGTGAGCCCATGCCTCTGTGTCAGTTTTTTATCATGATCAATGACGAAGGATATCCATCTTCATATCTAGGAAGACCATGGAGGATTCTGTATCCCCACTTTGACATGCAGTGTTTGCTGATGGACGATCTTTGCTTTTCTATCAAGTAAAATAATAAAATGATATCTCAGGGAAGGAGACTCTTCTTCCTTCTCCTCCTTCCCCTCCTCCCTCTCGCCCTTTCCGTTCTTCTTCTTTCTCTTTCTCTTTTCTTTCTCTTTCTCCTCCTCCTTCTATGAAGTCAGTGATATATAGATTTCTCCATTTATCCAGCAGACATTTCCTGGGTGCATACTGTCAACCCAGTCTGCTTTGATTACAGGGTCTTTGAAAAAGAAACAAGAGCTGTCTGTCTCTCTGGATTCTTTAGCCTAGTAGAAAATAACAGTAAGAATAGGGATAAACATGAGAAAGCCAGTGACTGTAGGGGCTGTGGTCAGAAGAAAATGTGCATCCACAGAGATGAGGAGCACAGCAAGCTGGAGGTCCAACAAGGACTCGGGGAGCTATCTGGGGTTTCATGGGTGTGTAGCATTCTAGACAAACACAGGAGCAAAATATCCAGTGGAAGATGGTGGTCTTAATTCAGGTAAGGACAAGAGATTAACACAGTGGTCATACAGAGAGAGACCCAAACAATGTAGGATGTGTTGGACGTTGAACTGACAAAATAAATGAGGTGTGGTGAGCCCGAGACAGCCAGAAAACTGCCTCTCCGAGATTGGGACATGCAGTCTGTTTTCTGAAGCAATTTAGCATTGCTTCCTATTATAATCTATTCTCAAAAGTTATGATATCTTTTTCTTACCAAAACTCACTTAAAACTTTGTGTCCTGATCCTGCCTAAACTATTACATCACAACTGGGGGTATTATTTTGATCATTGCTTAAGTAATTTTCAAAATTGAAGAGAAATTCTTTAACCTCAGAAATAGTCCCTTGGGGAAGGGTAGGACAGCCCATACTTGAATTTCCAGCACTTAGGAGGTTTGGGCAGGATTATGGGTTAGAAGTCAGCCTGGACTATGTAGCAAGACCCTATCTCAGAAAATTAAAAGCAAAACAAACCAGAAAGGAAGAAGAAAAATGAAAAATACCATTTAAGCACACACAAAGTCCTGAGTTCGAACCACAGCCACACACACAGAGAATATAGACAAATAAGAGGTTGTCTTCTTGCAGCGTTATATTCATATAAATTGTGCAGGAAAGAGAAACCCAGAGAGACACAGTAGACTGGCAGTGGCAGCCGTGAGGAGGGCTGAATGGAAAGGCTCTGCTTCACGGCTATGGGATTGTCTTTCAGAGTCAATAAAAATCCTTTCCAACTGGATGATGGCACTGTTTCCATAACAATGCAAACGTGCTAAATGCCACTGAGTTGTGCGTGTTGAAATGGTTCATTTTATGTTACACTTTTTACAAAGAAAGCGTTAATACAGCCACCCAATTGGTAAATGCTCACACAGGTTTATATTCTAGTCCGTTCCAATGTAAGCACCATTTAGTGATCCTGGCTCATGGTTTGAGATTCCTAATTACAGGGTAAGTAATCTCTTTCTCTTCATTTTCAAGTGAAAAGCAAAACCAATGCCATAAGTATAGAGTATTACTGGTCCCTGTCTCAAAGGGGAAGTGAAAGAGAATGAAGGTTTTCTTTTTGACTCCTCCTGGGAATGATGAATTGTGTCCCACATGAAGCCATGAATAAAAGTGGCCACTGTGTGTCCCTGCCAGGCCTGTGGGGCACCTCCACCAGCTGCCTGAGCCACCACACCGCTGTGACTCTTTCAGAAGGGCTGGGTCTTGGGACACAAACCTTGGGCTGGATGTTTGCAAGAAAAACAATTTCTTCCATGTGGTTTTACTTCCAGAGCTCCACTGCAGGGTCAACAGCTTTTTAGGGTGGTAGAGTTGTCATGGTGGGGACCCAAAGCCTTGTGAAGATTCTCAGTATCACTGCTTATTTTTTTCCTGCGGGAACAAGTCTGGAGGGCTTTGTTATTAATCGAGGAACCATGTTATATATGTCAGTAATTGATAGTCTATGCTATAGGTAACTGTGGGTGATTGAATGAAAATTTAGAAAAGAATTAGACACATCCAAAAGGTGCCCATTTAGTGTTTGCCTTGGATTCTGCGAGGCAAATTGATTTTATGATTACTAGGAAGGTAGGCTTTTAACATGCAGAACTAAGCTAAAAATTCCAGGGGGAGAGAGAAAGAGAGAGAGAGAGAGAGAGAGAGAGAGAGAGAGAGAGAGAGAGAGAGAGAGAATTTTAAGTATAGGAAGTTCTCATTAATACATAACACAGGGGCCAAGGATGTAGCTCAGCAGTTCAAGTGCTTGCTTGGTAAGCACAAGGTTGTGAGTTCGATCCCTGGTACTAAATATATAGATATGTAGATAGATTGATAGACAAGTAGATAGATAACACAGTAAGCAAAATTTTAAAAAGCAAAGACTAAAATGGGATGGAATAGAATTAAGAGGGCATTAGGAAGGCAGCACAGAAAGAATCCCATGGGTGGGGAGGCAAGGAGATACCAGGATACCAAGGACCCAAGAACTGAAGACCACTGAAGACCAAATTCTTTTGCATAATAATCAAGGGCAGAGACTTGACGTGACTGTTACATCCAGTTTTAAAATGGAAACTCACACTGCTGCAACTGTTGGCAAGAAGAAATGTCGAGTATACAAGTAGAAGAGGAGTAGAGCTTGGTGAAGAATGATACATAGCCAATATAGTACATTTTCCAAACTCTATCTCATTCCTAGTCCCTACCTAACACAAAATTTAAATGTAAATCTAAGCCCTCTTCAGGAGGCTCATCTTCCTTAAAGTCTTCACTTTTATATTTTGAGAAAGATGTGGATACCTGCACCATTGTCACATGGACTTCTCCAAACTCTGACTAATTGCTGCAGTGGTGACACCTTCCAAAACAATCTCATAACCAGGAAATTGACACTGATGGGTAACATTACTTTATTCAGGTTTAACTGGCTTTACCTACACACGCTTGGGTGTCAGTGTAGGTGTTTGTGTGTGTATTTAGTTCTATGCAATATTATTGTATTCATACAAACCATTGCATTTTAAGCAGATGAGCTTCTGCAAGACATGCAATTAGCATAATAAATTAGTTTTAAAGAAATATAGTACATTTTTGCATGTTTCCCTAAGGCTAAATACAACTTAGTTCATGTGTATTTTAACTTTAGTGCTATAGAAATGATTGACTCAATAGGGTACTTGATGCTGTCTTGAATATTGGTCAATGAATTATTTTCAAAAGTAGCAAGGCACCTAACATGCCCATGTAGAGAAATCTATACTGCCTAATGAAACTGAGTAGAATCTACAGATTTGGAAAGTTACTTCACCAAGAGGATGCTTGTGCCTGTTTCTCACCTAGAGTAGATTTGAAGAAACAAAAGGATGAGGAAAGGTCTTATTGTTTAGAATGCAAAAAACTGGCCCAAGTAGAAAAGGGAATCAAGTTGCAGAAGAAGCGAGGTTTAAGGATGGAGTTTTGAGCCATCAACTCTTGATTATTGGCATGGCTCTGACCTGAGGTCATAGGCTCTCAAAACTGGCTGCTCTGAACATTCCCAGGAGAGCTTTTAAGGGGACCAGCGTGCCCTGGCACCTTCAGGTCAGTCTTGGAGTGTAGATACCGGTGGAATTTTAATACATGCCTGGAGGTGACACTGTGGAGATCTTGGAGACATTCATATGAGCTATAGCAGAATTTTTTTTTTTTTTTGAAGCATCGCACTTACACAGCCTAAGAGTGAGCATATGTTTTCTCCCCATTTTTTTTTCCTCTGCCAAATGATACAAGACTGCAGATGTCTGATAGATATGGGTAGAGGTTATTACACATCTTTGAACTTTCTTTTGGATACAATTCTAACCTGGGAAAGACGAGCAAAGCACAGGGTCATCAAATATAATTTTAGATGTCATAGAATGTTAGTAGAATTCCTTCTTTCTTCTTGACCTTTTGAAATAGCTTGCAAGGGGCAGCTGGTAGTGATTTAAGGGCAGTCAAAAATAGCCAATTAGAATTGATCCATCATTATACTTAATAGCACCAGACTATCGTGCAGTATAAAGCTGGTGCTGCCTTGACCTTTTCATCCCTGATATTGCCTTCCTCATCTCAACCAACAGCCAATCAGATGCAATTGCCTGCATTATGAATAATGGGAAAGACACCGCATTCCTGGTATTGCGTTGGTCAATCCGGACCCCTGGCTTTATTGCAAAAAGCCATTCCTGTCGTTTTTTGTGCTTTACTGGAGAGGCTGCTGGTAGAAGCAACCTCCCAAAGTAATATCCACAGAGGGCTAACTCATGGTAAAGTGATATTACAGGTGTCACTGCCTGCCTTCGCTCGCTGCTCAAGCCACCCAGCCAGGGCTGGCACCATTTTTAAGCTGACTCTGGGGAGGCATGGGTTGTTCAGATGAGTTCCTCAAGGCCAGGTCCTCTGTGAATGGCAGGTCTGAGAATAAGCCTGGGCCCCTCAGTTCCAGAGTTCTCCAAGGAAAGGTGTCTCTCTTCTGCCTGACAGCCTGTCTGTCCATAAATTCAGGTTATAAGAGATTAGCTATCACAGGGCCTATTGCA